GTAGGCGGGAGCCGGCGCCGCGGGAGGAGCTGCAGGACGGGGTCCGGCCGGGGAGAGGGGGGCGGCAGGAGCGGATCGTTCACGCGCGAGGCAGAGCGGCGCGGACCATGCCGGAGCTGTGAAAACGTCGCTCTCACCCTCAAAGTAAGCGGGCCGCAGGGGGGACGTCATCGCTGAGGTGGGCTGTGGGCCTGTCTGTTGGAAGAGAGAAGGAAACATGAGTTGGTATTTTTTTTTCTGGTATTGGAGTAATTTCTAATGGCAGAAAATGGGGTAAATTGTTTGTGAAAAATTGCTTTCTTTAAAATACATATTTATCTAGTTCTTGGTAGACAGCTGCCTTTTTAATTTTTTAAAACGATGGAGGCTTAGTTAAATAGCAGTTGACCCTTGGCAAGTTACCTTTATTTACTGGATTTTTCCCTGTAGCGCAATGTCCCTGTTGTTTACTCGTTCCAAGTCAATTGTTGCAGTGAAGAAGGATAAAAGACACATGGCTGAGGTAAATGCTTCTCCGCTTAAACATTTTGTCACTGCAAAGAAGAAAATCAACGGTATCTTTGAGCAGTTGGCTGCATACATCAATGAGAGCTCCTCATTCCTAGAAGGTAGGCTATATTTTTGAACTACAGCTCTGTAAGAGAGCTTTGACTATTTCAGTAATTCCCCATGCACGCACACCAAAAAAGATTCATTTAGTTAAATGGCACGGCTAGACCTGTTCTTATTTTTATTTATGCACGTGTACACCTTTGTATGCAAATATTTACGTGAAAGAGAGAAAATCATTCTACTGAGTGAAGCTCGGACTTTGTCTTAAAGCTCACTTAAGTTTATGCTTATTGTGGAACTGCATATAAAGATGTTAGCTGCCTTTTGGGGTTTTTTATGTTGTTTTGAATTTTTTTTTAAATGGAAAATTCAAAGTCGTTTAGGTTTTATGTTCTATAATCCTTTCGGTGTCACTGCTAGTGGCATGTAATGCATTCCAGTAATTGACTTTAACAGCTTAAAACCCAGGCAGCAGATTATTTAAGGAGGATGGAGTGTTTGAAATGTTGGCTCCCTTCTGTTTAAGGCGCTCTTAAGGGTGTGAATCCCTATTAGAAATACAAAAGTTTCCAGCTGATAAATGCTGATGCAAAGTTGCTTCGGGACATGATTGCATGTTTCAAGGCTGCCCATGCAGCTATTTAGTTGCATGTGTTAAGTCATACAGAGGTGTTTCACTGAGTACTGAGGTGGATTACTTCTGAAATTCTGAGGCATGGTGTATTTTGACTCTTTAGAAACACACAGGAATGTGGAGCTTGACCCTGTCACCACAGAAGAGCAGGTATTGGAAGTCAAAGGTTACCTCTCAAAAGTCAGTGGCATTAGCGAAGTGCTGGCAAGGCGACACATGAAAGTGGCTTTTTTTGGAAGGTAAGTCACGTGTTCATGTTGCCTACGCTGCCATCCTCAGTACAGCAACTGGCATCTTTAGGATCAGAGCCAGTAAAAATATTTATAGAAACACGAGTGATCCAGCTTCTGAAATGCAACGTGTGGCAGAAGTCCCTGGTACTAGTCCTGTTGTAAATCGGAAAAAAAATATTGTAAAACACAATACTCAATTTGGAGAATTTCTAAGAAAATGGAGTGATCCTTTTGCAAGTTGCCTATGGCACGCAATTTGTTAATGCTTCTGGAACTGGCTAGGTTTTGAGAACTTCCTGTCTTTGATATCGGAATGAGTATACTTGAATCTCAGAAGTTCATCTATACCATTCTTTAATCTACCTTCAGGACAAGCAACGGAAAAAGCACTGTGATAAATGCCATGCTATGGGATAAAGTCCTTCCTTCAGGGATTGGACACACCACAAACTGTTTCCTGCGTGTAGAAGGAACAGATGGGCATGAAGCTTTCCTGCTTACTGAAGGCTAAGAAGAAAAAAAGAGCGTCAAGGTACAACTCTGTTAAGCCTAAGATAAAGGAGGAGAGCTCTGTCCCCATTCTTAAAAGTGGCAGAAAAGGAACAGTACAATTAAATGACTATGAATAAATTTGGGTTCACAGTTAAGGATTTTTATCATTCAAAGAGAAGAGCTGAAGAACAGGTTTTTGGTATAAGAAGGACAGGAAGAGTAGAGCAAGCTATAGGATGCCACTTGTTCATTTTATGGATTATATGATATAGTTGTCAGTGATAGCAGGGAACTGAAGATGACCCAGAAGGTTCTTCCAAGCTTTGACTGACTGACAGAAGTCACAGCCTTCTTGAGGATTCTTCAGTAGCCTTTCTTGACAGGAAAGTGTATCAAACTTTTACCAGGTGGTTGCCTGTTGAGTAGGAGACTTGAGCACATTTTATATCTTCTGGAAATGACCTAAAGCTGTGTTTTTTGGTTTTTGTTTTTTTTTTTAAACTGTCCGTGAACAGCTCTGATGGGGAGATAATTGTGTTAACATGTCTTAGCACACAGGAAAAGTTATAAATTGTCCATCTCTTAAACAGACCGTAAACCAACTTGCTCACGCTCTTCATCAAGATGAACTTCTGGATGCTGGCAGTTTAGTCAGTGTTATGTGGCCCAATTCCAAATGTCCTCTCTTAAAGGATGACTTGGTGCTGATGGACAGGTGAGAGATATCTTTCTTTTCCTGCTTATCACAGCATTAGTACAAAAAAGTCTTCAAATACAAATGTAACAAACATAAGGAAATTGACCCTGTCTGTAATTAACAGACAGGGTTTCTCTCTACTCTTATTTCCTTTTGGTCGGCACTCTTTATCACCTCAGAACCCAGCGTAGCTCAGACGTGGGAAATGAATGCCTGAAGAGATGGAGTGTTTTCTTTCTACTTGTTTGTGTTTAAATTGTATTTCTGATGTTTCCACAGCGTAGTAATGTCTTTTTTTCCTTTTATTGCTAGCCCTGGCATTGATGTAACCACAGAGCTGGACAGCTGGATTGACAAGTTCTGTCTAGATGCTGATGTATTTGTCCTTGTGGCAAATTCTGAATCTACATTGATGCAAACTGTATGTTCAAGTCCTCTTGTTAATGTTCGGTGAATTTGGCTAAAAGTCTAAACGTTTTGACATGTTAGTCTGAGAGGTTTTGTTCCATTTTGCCTAGGAGAAACAGTTCTTCCACAAGGTGAATGAACGCTTGTCTCGACCCAATATATTTATCTTAAATAACCGCTGGGATGCATCTGCTTCTGAACCAGAATACATGGAAGAGGTTTGTGGTGTGTTTAAAGTCCTTCTTTTTGCATGAACGTTATAGAGTCCATTTTGACTCTGCTCTTTGTGGGTAGAACCACAAGCTGTTAGATGTGGTTGTTGTACGGTTTAGATGTTAACTACTGTAATGTGGAGACTACAGAGAGTGTAGGCTAGTGGTCAGAACAGGACTCTTGACATTTCTCAGCTGGAAACCAAGAGCTTCACAGGGATCTCTTGAGGTTACCTCACTTGGATGACCTTTGGAAGATTCTATAAAACAGCGAGGAAATTTCTCTTATTCTTTTGTATTGGTAGCTTAGACCAGCAGAGGGCATCTGATAGCCTGATCTAACTGTTATGACATGGATTTAACTGCCTGCGGGGTTTATGCTTCAGGTGCGTCGGCAGCACATGGAGCGGTGTACCAGTTTCCTGGTAGATGAGCTGGGCGTGGTGGATCGAGCCCAGGCAGGGGATCGAATCTTCTTTGTGTCAGCAAAAGAAGTGCTGAATGCCAGGATTCAGAGGGCTCAAGGGATGCCAGAAGGAGGTGAGGAAAGGTAGCAGAGATTTTCCCCCTCTCCCCGCCCTCCCCTTTCTTTTTTTAAGGGAGGAAGGTAGAGAACATCTTGTCCCAAAAATGGGTAAAACGGGAGGGGGTCGGAGTATTAAGAGAGAAGCCAAAAACAAACGAGACAACTTAGCAGCAGCTCTACTGCGTTCACTTCGAAATAAAGCAGGAGTATTTCCTGGTGTCCGATACTTGATTGCTTTCTTGAAACTTAAGTGATTGTTTTGTACCGTCCTTCTGTTAGGTGGAGCGCTGGCAGATGGATTTCAAGTGAGAATGTTTGAGTTTCAGAACTTTGAGAGAAGATTTGAGGTGAGTGTTATGTGTACTAACTTTCTTTCTAAGTTTTATTCTTGGGTGGCTGGGGACTGGAGTAAGCATGGAGTGGACCACATCTTGAAATTAAACGATACGGGAAAGAAATTGGATTAGTATGCTTTTGACTGCTGCTAATCTTGGCTGCCTCTTGTATACACAGGAATGTATCTCACAGTCTGCAGTGAAAACAAAATTTGAGCAGCATACAGTGAGAGCGAAGCAGATTGCTGAAGACGTTCGTCTTATCATGGATTCTGTGCATGTTGCCGCCCAGGAACAGCGGTGAGGAGATGCTGATGCTTGGTGCTTGTGTTCTGGGAGCATTCCAAGGCAATGTGAACCTCTCTGCATTTAAAATGCAAAGCAGAATGCAGAGTGTTTGGAAGCGGGAGGGACATGTACCAGTAGTTTTGCCTCTAGCAAACTGAGAGTATTAGAGGGGATCCACCTTTTTGTCCTGTATCCTGTGCATATGTAACGTGTTTTAGATGTTGCCACTTTTTGCTCTTGGGCTGGAAAATCTCTCTTGTCTCTGGAATTCCAAAAGTATTGATAGGTCAGAGATGTGTTGATCTGGCTTTTTGACGAGCACTTCTTCTCATCAGAGTTTACTGTCTGGAAATGCGAGAGGAACGACAGGAACGTTTAGGTTTTATTGATAAACAGCTGGAGCTCCTTACTCAAGACTACAAGCGGAAGATAAAACAGATCACAGAAGAAGTGGAGAGACAGGTAAGGAAAAGCAGCTGCTTAAAAAGAGAAAAGAGATTGTCTGAAACAGTCACCAGCGTGGTGGAAGAAACACCAAGAAAGAATTGACATTTTAGAGATGTAGTGAAGGAATGCTTTCAGAAGAAATTATTCCCTCCTCCCCCCTCCTTGAAGTAATAAAACAGATGAGTAGTAGAATATTTGGGAGAAAATCTGAGATGCTCATTTAAGATGCTTTGAATAAACAGATTTTTGATTCATGTGTGAAGCATTATTGCTACTCTATTTCAGTCTTTTAAATGCTTCCTAAAATGCTAAAAGCTTTCAGATAATCTTCCTTTTTATTTCAGACTAGAATAACGTAAGTATTTTTATTGTCAGTAACATACTGTGTTAACTGTATTATGAGTATACAGAAATGGTTTGTTCATCTTTCACAGGCTTTATTTTAATCCTTTTTTTTCCTTCTGCACTGTTGCACAGAACATAGGTCTATATATTTCTGAGTCATGTTTGATACAACATTCTTGGTTTGCATGTCACCAGTATTGCATTTTGCAGTTGACCCCCAAAGGCCCACATGGCTCTGCAAAATCATAGTCCCAACTGATTGTTAGGGCTTTTTAAGAAATGCGTGGTTCCAGTGGTGGTTTTCCATCTTTCCTTGGAACAGAATGTTTAGTAACTCGGTCCTGTATGGCTATTTTTCCAGGTATCAAATGCAATGGCTGAAGAAATTAGACGGCTTTCAGTGTTGGTAGATGAATACCAAGCAGATTTCCATCCATCTCAAGTAGTTCTTAAAGTTTACAAGAACGTAAGTGATGTTTGCTTTTTACAGGTTGCATAAGCCATCCAAGCAGGCATTTTTATGGTCTGAGTGAATAATCATGCCAGCTCTTTGCAGTACTTAACATTCTGCCAGTTAGGATATGAACCAAGCTTTTCATGTTTGCCTTGCACTGGGATAACTTTTGTAACAAGTGACTTCCAAAAAAAAAAAAAAAGGAAGGGAGTGGATTCTTTTTCAAATTAACCTCTGATAAACTGATGCAGGTATAATGTATTGCATTGTATAAATTCAACATAAATTTTCCTAGAACTTTTCCTGGAATATAGAGTTCACGTGACACTTCCTGATTTGTTTTTTCTTCTCTTTCACTGAAGAAAGGAAGAAAAAAAACAAAAAGAATGTTAGAGCTGTGGGCAGTTGAATGTGTGTTCCTGTTGGGGGATATTTTTTTTTGTTTGTTTTAATTGGCTAGAACCTGTGATTTGTATCATACCTTTATTTATTTAAGCCCAATAACTCTTTTGTGTTTCTGTCAGGAGCTACATAAACACATTGAGGAAGGTCTGGGCCGTAACATGTCGGAGCGTTGCTCCAATGCTATCGCAGTTTCCCTGCAGACAATGCAGCAAGAAATGATAGGTCAGTTCAGCAGATGGTGTTTATCTTTCCCTTTCCTTTACTGTAATGCAAAACAACTAGGTGGATATTCTGTGTTTCTTTTTACTCTGATGGCTGATGTGCAGCTGGCAGCAACTTAACTTCCATCTTTATTAGTAATGCTTTAGTTTAGAGGACTAGTTATTCGTGCTTTTTCTACTCTATGCCTGAACCTGTGCCCTGATTTGCTAATAAATGTAATCAATCGGCTTAATCCTTCGTGAGGATGAGAGAGGGATTGTGCCTTTGGAAGCTTCAGAGATTTGCAGATCAGGATTTTAATGAAACAGGGATGACTCGTAACTAGATGCTTGTCCGTTTGGAGCCTAAACGCCTTTTAGAACTGGCCCTCAGATTTTGTTTTCCAAGCTTTTGCTGAACTATAAACTTTATCAGCTACCTGAGGGATTTGGGAGGGTCCATAGAAAAATTTCCTTCTGAGTTATGTAAAGATGATGTAAGCACTGAAGAATAATTTCTATGAGATGTCTCTAACTTTGCAACATGCTTGGCTTTAGGAAGTTTAAGGTACTAACAACAATAACTGTGAAGGACAGAACAACCAATAACCACCCTGATTACAGACTGAAAGTTCAGTTAATTCTAGTGAAACCAGTAGCCCTTTTTTTGGATTGTGTTTCTCTTCTCTCTATGCAGATGGTTTAAAACCCCTTCTCCCAGTCTCTTTGCGGGGCCAGATAGATATGTTGATTCCCCGACAGTGCTTCACGCTCAGCTATGATTTGAACTGTGACAAGCTTTGTGCTGACTTCCAAGAGGACATAGAATTCCATTTCTCTCTTGGATGGACGATGCTGGTGAATAGATTTTTGGGACCAAAGAATGGTCGTCGGGCCTTGATGGGCTATAATGACCAGGTAAGATGCCTCATTGCATGGTCGATGGTAGCTCTAATACTCACTAATTCCAGTGGCTGCTGATGTCTTGTTGGAGGGAAGGGCAGTAGCTTGTATTCTGGTTTTTCTTCTGTACTTTTTTTTTTTTGTCTTGCTTTTCTAATTAGATTCAACGCCCTTTAACACCAGCAAATCCCAGTCTGCCTCCTTTGCCTCAGGGTTCTATGACCCAGGAAGAGCTCATGGTGTCTATGGTGACTGGACTGGCCTCATTAACTTCCCGAACTTCCATGGGGATCCTCGTGGTTGGTGGCGTGGTGGGTTGACAATCTGAGAAGCATTTATGTAAATAATGTTGGAGCACTGACTTGAAAAGTACTTACCCTGCTGATTTCTGTAGGTATCTGTGATTCACAGATAGCAAAATACTTTCTCTTTTGATCTTCCATTTGTGTATAAATATTGAGCTAATTTGACCTAGTAGTTAGGGATGGAGCCAGGGTTGTGAAGACAGAAGGAAAACCTTCAAAGCATGTTATGAAAAACCCATAAAGTCTTCTCTGGTACTTCTGTGAGAATAAATTCCTATTTGAATAAATTTTCCTATTGACAGGGGTATTGGAACAGAGGTTGAAGCTGAAATTCCTGCCAACAACCTCTGATTGTGTGCATCTTCATTCCCAGAAGGGGAAGAGAGTGCTTAATTTTAGATACTATGCCTAAATTTTTTCAGAGAAGCTCAGAACTTCCTGCTTTTCTAGCTTCTGGAAAAAAAAATGAATGTTTTGCATCCCAAATCTCCCAAAACTAAAGAGTAGTAGTAGATCTACCGTAAGTTACTTGGTAACTCTAATGTCTGTTGCAAGAAGAATGCAATCTCTCCAGTGCCAGTCCCAAGTCTACATAGTGTTCTAGTGTGTGAGTGTCTAGGGACAGATGATTTCTCAAAGGGGAGATGGCTGCCCAAAAATGCCTTTTATGTCAGAAACGGAGATTTTTGCGAACAGGAGAATGTACTTTTTGCGCTTGTAGACGTAGTTTAAATGTCTGGAAAGGTTAAGGTTTTTTTGTTTTGTGGACTAGACGTCGCTTGCAAGCTGTTTGACCAGTGAAATCACTTGCAAGTCAGGGTTATCTTTTGTAGGTTTCTGGCTCATTTTCACATGCCTAAAACATGTGTAATGCTCCCTACACCATTGTAAGGAGTTAGCGTTGTTCCTCAGTGATAATCGTGTCTTTTTTCTCTTGTGCTGATTTTAGGTCTGGAAGGCTGTGGGTTGGAGACTGATTGCTCTTTCTTTGGGCCTTTATGGGCTCCTTTATGTATATGAACGTCTCACTTGGACCACAAAGGCGAAGGAGAGAGCTTTCAAACGCCAGTTTGTAGAGTATGCTGGTGAGAAACTGCAGCTCATCGTCAGTTATACAGGTTCCAATTGCAGCCACCAAGTCCAACAGTGAGTTGTCTACATTCATCTAAAATCTTCTCTAATTTCTGCTGAGTTTTTAAGACAATAAATATTCCTTGCAAAAACAAGATAGGTCTGTGCATTGAACTCCAGATTTAGGCATGTTTAATATACATGTGTTTAAAAACAGTATTATGTTTGGTGAATCACCTGATGTTTGGTGATCACCAGTGTTTGGATGCTTTTTAGCATCAGCCTTGATGTACCTGAATCTTTCAAAACAAGTTGCAGAAATGGAAATATGTTTTCGTCGTGAGCTTTCCAGAGTCAGTATCATCACTGCACACCAAAAGGATTTATTTCTTGAGTTTGGTGCTTGATCTTACCTTTAATCATCCTCAACTGTTCTTCTCCTTTCTATTTTGTAGAGAGCTTGCTGGAACATTTGCTCATTTGTGTCAGCAAGTGGATGTCACACGGGAGAATCTTGAGCAGGAAATTTCTGCCATGAATAAAAAAATTGAAATTTTGGATTCACTGCAGAGCAAAGCAAAACTGCTCAGGTAGGAGTTTCTTTTCATCACATATACACAAACGTCTGCATATAATAGTTTTTCCTGTGATGTAGAGGTTACCACAAGTTGTTCAGATTATGATGTGTCTTTGAGTGCAGTCCTCCTTCCATCGTAGTTTGTGATGTGCAGACATCGAACCTCCTTCTCTGCCAGATAGCGTTCCCTTACACTATTACGTGAAAAGTAATTTGTTGCCATCTATTAGAATGCCTCGCTGATATGCTACAACAATATCCTGTAGTCTCTGTAATGGACAAAAAAAGTCTCTTGGATGTTGGGTGAGAAAAGATATTTTTGAGGGATTGGTGAGCAGTGGGCTCTTTTGTTCTTTTTTTTCTTTTTTTCCTTCCAGAAGAAGGAAAGATGCTAAGCCCTTGCACTGTCAAGCATCACTTATCTTCTGACTCATAAAACATCTTTTCCTTCTTGCTTTTATCTGATCAGAATTACAGTTCCTCTGTACTTCCCCTCCTAAAAATCAGGTCTTCTGCTCCTATAAGCTCCCTCAGCATATGCTAAAATCATTTAAAAAGTCTCTGCCTCTCATTTGTACACAATTGAATCTGATGTATTTCTTTACCCTAAAAAGGCTGAACCAGGAACAATTATTTTTCAAGCATTCCTTACTTGCGGAAAGGATAAGATCACTTTGAAGCTGGAACCAAAATCTTTGGTACCTCAAAGTTAAGGACACTTGCCTGCTAGCAATCCCTGACTTGGAGGGCGTTGTTTTGAAACACACCTCCATGGCACTCCTCCATGCCTTGCTGTTGACTAGTCTTAGTCATGCTCTTCTTCCAGATTGACTTGAGCTATTTTATTCATCTAACGGAGACTTTTTGTCTTTGCAGGAATAAGGCAGGTTGGCTGGACAGTGAACTCAACATGTTCACACATCAGTACCTGCAGCAAAGCAGATAGTGTGGGAAGAAAAGGAAATCAACACTGTTTCCCTTCAGTGCTCTCTCTTAATTACCGCAGGGAACATGGTGGGTGATGGAATCCCTAAAGGGAGCGAGCAAAAAGCCAAATGCTGTGTTTCTAGTCACTGTGTGAACGATAGGATTCTGCTTCCCTGTTTCATGTCACACCTCTAAACACTAGCTGTTTGCAACTTCTTTTTCCTGTTGGGGAGGCTGGGCTACTTAAGAAGGAATGTCTGCCTCATACATTAACAGGGGGCTTTTTAAAGCAAAATGAAGTTCAGCAACAGCCAATTTAAAACAGCAAACAAAGGTATATCAGGTTAAAAGTCATTCTAACGCATCTTTCCTTGTGGATTCAGTCATTTTACTACATGCAGATAAACTTTTTGAATTCAAAGCCCCGAGTTCATGTATGCGTGATATGCAGCTACTTGTCCCAACACAGATTTCTCATGGCACGGAGGTGTAAAGATATTTTCACAATACTGCTACAGCCCATGCCAGCCTATCTCCTAGGTAGCCTTCAGTAAGTACAAAACATGACAAAGAACAACTGCACCCTATCTCTTCATAGAAAAGTTTGTTGCTGTCAGCATGTTCAAACCTATGAACAAAACCAGTTATCTCCCAGAGTGAGAGGGATTAAGATTTTGCGTTAGTAAACTTACTGTCTTTCGCGTTGGTTTCTTCCTCTTCAGAGCTCTTCAGTTCAACAAAGCAGCCTGGCCCATTTCACGTCACAGACAAATAGTTTGCAAAGACAAAACTAGCTCCTGTAAAGGAGCAAGTATTGATTTTTTTTTTTTTTTTTTTTTTTTTTTTTTTGGTGTCTTGATAATTTGGCAGCTTGTGGAGGAAGAAAAACAGGACTGAAAAGGAAAGCCAGTTGACAGAATAACTGCATTATGAGATAAGTTGATGAATGTGTTTTTTGGAAATGCACAGCTGTGTTTCTGGAAGCAGGACTTTGGAATTCCATTACCGCTATTAGGCCACAAGGACGGCATGTGGATTACAAGCTGTAAGAGATTTTGCTTCGTGTAGAGTTTCCATGGGGTGATGGAGTCCATGCAGTAATATGATTCAATGTTGTTTCTGTTTTCTTAAAATGAGAGTATGAGAATGAGCTGACAAGTGCAGCTCTTCTAGTGCTGGAGAGACCTGTCTGCTATTTCATGCATGGACAAGACTGGATTAAGGCAACTTATATTTTTTTAAATGCTCTCTATAGGCAAACAGATCAAACTGATCTTTGAGTTTTCCCCAAAGCAATTTTTAATTCTAAAATTTAGGAATTGTAAGGACTTCAGTCTCTTCCTAATTGTAATTGATGAAGAAGAAATTCCCACTGATTTCAGTAGCGCTAGGATCAGGTTCCTTTGCTGCAAAATTTATTTTCCACTTGGTAGGTCAGTATTATACGGCATACGTTAGGCATGACCTTTCTGTTCCCGTTTCCCCCCTCACCCCAAATATCTCTAAGGAATCCAGAATCAGGCCCTAGAGTTCTGAGGTTAATGCTAACCTAAATCTGTCCAGCATCAGACGTATTAGAAAATATGGGTTATCTGTGAGCAGGTCCCAGCTCTGAGTTCAGAACTACTGAAAGGTGTTTGTTGGGTTTTGTTTGGTCATATTGACAATGAGACTTTTTATTTAAAAATGGTATCAGCTGGCCCTAGGATTTCTCAACTCGCGCTCGGATGCAAATGTATTTATGTGCCTGAGACAAATCCACTGCTTCACCGGAAGTTCCTGAAAGGAGAAGCTGCCTGATATTTGAGGGAGGAAAAAATAGTGAAGTGTCAGTAAGTACTTGAGGCTATTTTAACCTTTCCAGTCAGATTTCAAGTATTTTGGGTCAGTTGGGAATTGGCAGGTTGAGACTCTTGCTATGTCCCTGGAATATAGGAAGCAAACAACGGAGTACTAGAGCGGAGAGAAGGAATGGATTCCACAAAGAGATTTAGGTGCTTCATAAGTTGGTGTTAGAGGAACAAATCTTTCACTTCCAGTGGACAGCTTTGAATCCAACCCAAATTTAAAAGCCATTTTCACCTGAGGGCTCTTCATTGGCTGCGGTCACTCTCCTCAGGCAGTCACCAGGACTCGCCTGAGGTGTGCCTGAAGTATGGCTTGGATCTGAGATCTACGAATGAGTAGGAAAGAAACTGGAGTCCTTGCCTCTGGAAATTGTGTTCTGTAGGTTTGTGGTGAAGTATACCAGAATAAGTGGAATTGTCCACTGTAATTATGTGAATAAATTCAGATCTGGAGTCTCCCAAGCTATCCCTTCAGCATCTATAATAAGCTATGTTCCGTGCAGTTGAGTTCAAACATTAAGCTCATCCCTGATACAGCAGTCAATTTGCCAGTTCCAGGTAGAGGGTGGTGGTGATGTACCTCTAGACTACCTGAAGTGCTGACCAGGCTTTTGAAGATGTGTGCTCCTAGTATCCCTTTAACAGGGCTTAAGGGGAAATCTGAGAAATGATCTGATCTTTAAAGCTGGCGTTTGATCTGTAGAGGGAGAGGTTCATGGGTTCTTAGAATCTGATGTCTTGCTATTGTATGTGTTCCTGATACCGTGCAGATTTTGGTGATGTAGGCTTTCTTGCTGTAACATTGAAACAACCTACAGAACGGGGGAAAGAACCACTTCAATTTTTTAAGAAGCAAAACTGCTTCAGGAGCAAGGAAGTAATGTTTTTTAAGTATGCGTGTAACCCTTGTCGCTAGAAGCCAAGTGGCTGAGAATTGGACTTGAACGGACTTGCCTATGAGTTGGATTCCTCTTAAAGTAATCGAGATAATGACTGTTCTTCTTTAATTCAGATTGGTGGAGGAATGAACACTATCAGCAAGGAGGTTATCTTCTGCTTTCCATAAGGAATGATAAATAATCCTTAGACCAGGTACTTCCAAGGGCAAGCTCCCCCAAACTCTTATTAAGGAAGACCAGCTAAATGCACTTTATCTTATTGCTGCTACTTATTTTTCTTGTTGTTATGTTGATGGGGCTCTTCAAAGTACTCTTACCAGTGAGTTTTCTCTCTGCTGTATTTAAGGTGATAAATTTGCATGAATTATTCCTGTATCAATGCTGTAAACATTGGAAACCAAAATAAAAAAATGAATTGGGAACATGATTTCTCCTGATCTGTTCTGCATGCCTCCATATAAAGGCTTCAGTCGTAAGTAGAATACAGCCAGGCTGATGACCTGCTACTGTGTTGTAGTCAATCGCTTGTTGGATAGCGATCTTAAAACTGCAGTCTTAGTGTGAAAGGCTTAACAGACCCTGCGTCGTCTGATGGAAAGTCTTTGAGATTCCGTCTGAAGTGCTGTAGTTTTCCCTCGGAAGGGGCGGAGCGGCGGCGGCGCCTGC